CTGCACCCCCGCGCCGCCATGGCCGCCATGGCCGCCATTGCCCTGCTGGCGGCTGCAGGCGCCCGCAGCGCCCCCTGGGAAATGCAGTCCGGGCTGGCTGCGCGGAGCGCGGGCTGTGCGGGCGGACTACAACTCCCATCAGGCCGCTGGCCGTGGCGCTGGGTCCGCGTGTCCTCTCCTTATCCCGGGAATGCTGGAGCGAGAGATGGGGATCGCTGCTTGGCTGTTGTTAAAAACGCGTTTGGTGGCTCAGGTCCTCCAAGTGGGTTGTATGTGGCTTCCTTCTGGGCTTACGCTGACACAAAACCGTCTGCTGTTTTACTGGCGGCCGTTTGCAAGCCTTGGGCATCAAACGATGCAGTACCACGCGGCTGAGATCTTGGGGCTTAACTTCTCCTATGTGGAGCAACAAGGTTCAGTCTCGGCAGGGCCTGGGGACGTTCTGTGGTAATAAAGGGTCTTGTCCAGGGCATATGCAAACATCTTTAATGTGTACATAGCTACATTGCACAGATAACAGATTTAATGACATTCCGTTCCAAGCCGCAGGCGTGTGGAGCCTAAATGGGAATGAACATGAGCTGCTGCTGCTGCTTATGTCATCTGTGCACTATGTCAGCACCTGCCAACAGAAGCTGATCCGTCACACACACATCAGTGAGGCTGATTTCTTCCAGCAGAGGATACTGGTGCACACAGGCACTTCGAGGGCTCTGAATCATGCACAAGATAATTTACTCAAGGAAGAAGATGTCTTGCAGACAACGTTTTGTAGCACTAATTTTTTGATATGTTAATATTTTAAATGAATTGCCTGGAAGTGCTGTATAAGAAGAACCAGTTGAGAGATCCCATCAGCAGGCACTGACCTATAGTTACTTGTACAATATATCTTGTTTCAGTTAGTTTGTCACATTCTTTTTCTTGGGAAATATCCTTCCCTTGTACAACAAAGAGTGACCAAGAAAAAAATCCCTTTCTAATAGAGAAGAACTGACCACAGGTCATCTTGTACATGTTGCAGAGATGGAAAACATTAAAGTGGCCTTTTTCCTTCTCTCCTGAAGAAAACTTCACATAGGAGGTAAACTAATATAAAGCCTGTGTAGCAATCTTTAAGCCAATGAAATATTTAAGAATTTTGATAGTTCTGATTTGAGGAAAATCCCATTTTCATTTGGACTTAGCAGGGGCCCGTGCAATGTCTTGTGATGAAAAATGTTTTTCAGAGTGAAGCTACAGCACATGGGTTTTATTTCTGAAACAAATTTATTCTCTTTACAATTGTCCTCCATGAACTCTGGATTTAGGTATTATTTGATCCTGTGTAGGGATTGGCAGGTCATTTCAACCCAGCTGTCAGGATGGGTTCTAAATATAGCTCTGAAGTGTCTCTACTGCTGTAAAAGTGGTAAATTTCAGATTATTTTACTTTCTTTTAATCCTGTTATCCTGATGTAATAGAAGATTTCATAAATAGTTGCTAAGAAGTTAAAACCTAATGAATTTTAAAATCATGTTACTTAAAGCCTTACTCTGCCTTGATTGCACAGACTTCTGCCCTTTGCACATATTATTTAGAAGGGAGTAGACAGCACAAAAGGATTGAAATCCATCCCAAACAATTCCTCTGGAACTTTTAGCTGTATTAGGTGTTGTCTTACAGAGAGAGGAAGACTGGGAAGTGTCATTGTTTGTGATTTAAATTGTCTCAATGTTATTTTAACTCCTTTCTCAGGAAAAAATCCCATCAGAAGAACCTTTGCAGCCTTTTGCCAGTAGCCAAGTAGGTAATAAATGAAAGCCCACATCCATATACAGGAAGCTGGGAATAATTGCCTTTCCCAGCAGCTTACTTTGAGGTGGGAAAGGCTACATATTTATTCCTTATTGCAGTGTGTTTATAGATCATGCTGAGGCTTGGAATAGGAAAATAGCACTGCATAAAGATTTGTGCTCTGATAGTTCAGTACTATGTAGACTCATATCTTAGAGAGGGTGGACCCAGGGGGCAGTTTGCTCTGAGTCTCTTGTTACTGTAGGAATTTAACCAATGTCTGAGAGGAAATTGGAATTTTATTGAGAGCAAAAACCCAACAGCATATAATTTAATCCATAAACAATCAGTCTATTCCATTTATCTGAAAGAAGATCCCTCTGAATTTTAGTTTCTAGGGTTTGAGCTCTAAAATCTGATTTTTTGCAAGTCATGCTTAGCAGGCATACTTACTCCTTTTGTGGACTGTGAGGTCTCCTTTTGGTATAGCAGGGAATGGGTTATTCAGACTGGGGTGTTTGTTAGATACTTCACAGGCTGCCTGCAGTGTCTTGTTTCAGCATGTGAAATAAGGAACAGACAGGAATCTCTGCTAGATTTTTGAAGCAGGAGTTGTGACTTTTGGAAGAGCAGATCCATAGTCTATCAAAAAATCACACATTGGCCTACAGGGAAGAGTAATGAAGCCAATTCATTTAGGGACTTAATAGAGCTGCCTTGTATGATCTGCTGACTGTGTGTGTATGCATGCATGCAGTGATAGATTGGGTAGTATGAACAGCCTCATGATTTGAGGGTTCTTGTGTCAAAGTGCCATCAATTTCCTAATTGGAACATAGTGCCATTTTACATTATTTACCAAAATTGTAACAACTCAAGAGTTGAAAAATAAGGGCCAGACTTGGCTAGGAAATAAAACACCACAAGAAATATGCATGTACAAGCAATTTCTATAAACAGTAATGAAAACATGTAAGTTACATCAAAGTCCTGGTGTAGAAGGTGAATTATTATTCCTCAGAGGCTGTGTTGTTGAAGAGAACCAGTATCCTTGGTTCAGCCACGAGCAACTGTGTGTTGCCACCTTTCTGTACTGGTTTCACCTGGTGTGCCTTGCCTGGGAGTGCTGCACTGAGCATTGGCTACATCTGTGATTTGAATCAGGTGCTGGCAATCCTGAAAACTCTTGCTTAGGAGCTGGAAGTGAAGTGGTTTCTGGGCTTGTTTTAGCTGAGGTCTGGGTAAACCCATTTGGCAGAAGCAGTGTTTGAGGAAGTCTAGTGCCACTAACCTTGTCTGAGGGTGAGTACTATCCTAATTTTATTATTTAATAAATTAAATCCTTATTTTTCCAATGTGAAGTTCCACTGTTATAGGCATAAGAGGATTTCCTAGCATATCACTGCTGTCTTGGTATTGCATCTTGATTAAGTTGGAAAATCTACATTATGAGCCTATGCTACCTTTAGTATGACTCCTAGTTGCCTAAAGATTTGTTTCTTTTAGTTGAAAATCAGTATGATCTACCTACAGGCTGATCACTCCATTAGACTTGGACCTGCTATACTGCACAATGTTTTCTAAATGTTGGAGTTGTAATTCTGGAACTGTGTCAGGTTTATACTCAGATATAGTTCAGTCTATAAGGAATATGTTATAGTGGTTTGCTTTTATAGTGTATTTTCCAAGCAATGGAAACTGCATTTGGGAACAGCAGAGGCTAAGCTAGATCATCTATAATAAAGTTAAATAAACTTATTGTGCAGAATGTCTGTAATGATTATGCAGAAGGAAGTGATTGATAATATTTCCGCTGATCAAAATTTTGCTAGTATGTTCTTTCTATTCATATTGGTATCTGCAAGAAAACCTTTAAAAGGTCTTTGTAGCTTTTGGTTTTTTTTTTTACTTTGGTCCATTTAGAACCAAAGAAAGAATAGAGGGAAAAGCAGAGAGAGTAGAAGTGAGACTAATTTATTCTTGTATTTCATTTGCATTGCATTTCTGTGTAATGTTCTTCTTCTGATTATAATTTTCAGCTTGAAATTTTCAAAGAGCTGTTATATCTGAGGCCTGTTATTTCCTAAATTAAGAGCCATAACTCTTGTTGCAGGCTGTCTGTGACTTTATATATATATATATATATAAAAGTCATGGATCTAACATTTCAGCAGCATATAGTTTCACATAACTGATACTCAAACAAGAACTTTCATATTCGCAGTTATAAGATTCCAGCTGACGGCCCAACCTAGGAAAAAATAGACACAAAGATCTATGCTAAATTTGTTAAAGAACAAAAATTTTCGCTGAACAGTCAAATTTGGAATACACATCAAAGTGTTTTGCCCTTACTATTAGGAATCAACAAAACCTTCAATTATTATTGACTTCTCTGTCATGAATAAGGTGAAGGAATAGTTTGAAGGAGTTGTCAAGCAACATAATGCTGGGAGTAAGCTGGTTATAATAATGTCAATAGTTTAGTCTAAAATTAATTTTTTAAATCAAAACCAATCTAAAGATAGTCTGAAATGTTAAATTCTGTCAAGCTGCTGCTTGTAAGAGAGGGATTTCTTTAAAACATGAGATTACGAGTAGGTTGAAGCCAATTTGAAAAGGTGATATTTAAAAAAAAAATTATTCCACAGTGCTTCCACAAAGCACGATGCTTCTAAGGGCTGCTTTTACTGTTCTTAACACTAAGGATTGATTTTAATTGTCTAGAGCAATAAAGATGCAAACAAAATTGTTGCCCAGATGGAACTTTGTGATTTATTACTTCACTGAAAGCACAGTAGAAATGTAAATGAAGGAAAATACCACAGATAAGTGTTCAAATGCTTTGAATAAAGTTGCAGATCCTGAAGTGAGACAGCCCTATCTTTTCCCTCTGTAGGAACACAGACTTCTGTTTTACTTATTTAGGATTGATTTACAAGTTAGCTAGTTCTTTTCAATTTTTTGCATATTCTTTGCCTTCAAATGTATACAACTATACATTGTGTTATATATAACCCAGGTGGGCTTGAAGAACTCATGTTGAAACCTTTGTCCTGCTGGATATAAAGTTTTCACTCTGGAGCATAAATTTTTCTCTCTTTAATTGCATAGTTGCACTGCTGTCTTCATCTTAACACAGTGCCTTTGGCATTCAAAGCAAAATCTGGTTTATGTTCTGCTTTTTAGTAATAAGTGACAAGAATGTTTATGATGTGTCTTTGGCTTTTTTTCCCCCTTGTACTGTATTTATGCCATACCTATGTGCTTGGTAACTTTTCTTAGAGCGAAATAAAAAATGTAAACATTGATTCTTCCTGAGAATGAAAGGAGAATGGCAGCACCCTTGAAATTAAACATCCATCTCATAATTTGATGTGGTTTTGGGGTTTTTATGTGTTTTGGGTTTTTTTTTTTCTTTTCCTGCAGACTCATTGCTTTTGCATCCAGATTATGATTTCTCCATGGATTTGGTAAAGATAGTGTGTTAGTCACAGGCAATAACTGAGAGTGTGCAAGTGGAGACAGATTGTGACAACCTGGAGAAATGAGAGCCTTTGGGTATAAAACAGGCCAGAACATACAAAAGCATTACAAACATATTTTTTCCTTTTGTTACTTGTGTATCTAGTTTCCTAATAGAAAGTTCTGCCAAAAAATTTCAATCAAGGGTTTCCTCTTGAGTCGTTTATTCTGTCCTTGGGCTTTCTGTGGTGCCATCAGTTCTTGCTGACTGGTGTGAATTGCTACCCACCAGTAACCACAGCTAATATGAAATAGGCTGGTAACTAACCAGAGCCCTTTTATTTTATTATGAACTTCACCTGGGAGTTGTACCTTCTGTTGAACTTGACCCGAGTTCTTCATTGCTCATGGGATAACCTGGCCCATTGAAGACTCTTGGTGTTTCATACATATTGTATCACAGAGTTTGTTTTCCATCTTATTCTTTGAAAAAAGTATGAATGATTGTGCAGTCTTGTGGGCAACAGACATTTTAAAGTCCTGTGCCAGTGTATAAAATACATTGATAGTAGAATACTTAATTTAATATTATTTTAAAGGTAAGGAAAATAATTAACTGCTGGTATTTGGTTTGGTTTTGTTGTTCAGGCATTTTTTTGTGGGGAAGAAGTTGGGGCTTGGGATATTTTGATTTTATGTGAAGTTTGTCCTGTATGTAGAGTTGTTTTTTTCTTGTTTGGGGGTTGAGGTGGGGTTGGTTTTTTTTTTTTTGTGTGTGTGTGTGTTTTTTTTCTTTTTTTTACATCACCTCAGATTAGATGAGATTAGATTCTTCCATTGTGGAAGTGAAATTTTCTCTATAGAAACTTTCATTAACTGGTCAATCAGTAACTACTTTGGGACTGAAGTGCTTGAGCAAGTGATTTCATCATCTCAGATTAGATGAAATTCTTCTGTTATGGAAGTGAAATTCTCTCTGTAGGAGCTTCTTTTAACCAATCAGTCAGTAACTGCTTTGGGACTGAGGTGCTTCAGCTTCAGTAGCTGATCAGTAAGTTGCAGTCTGAAGCCAGACTGTAAGAGGTGTTATGTGCTTTGCACATATTGGGGCAATGGCTCATTAAGTTTTAATACATTGGATAATCTTTGAAGTTTGTGTTTCCTCCTTGCTTTGTCCAGGATAGCAGCACATGCAGGGAAGTAACACCAGCACAGGATACTCAGACTGTGTCAAAGGGCTGCTTCTACGGGACTTGTTCAAGCAGAACTCTGGGGATTTGAGTAAGAGTTTGGGTTTGACTCCCCAAACCTTTGATAAAGGAGGCAGCATGTATTAGATAACTGCAATAACAACTTTGCCAAAGGGACTTCAGAGTCCCTTTCCAGCTTTGCTGTGTGTCCTTCTCTTTCCTTTCTAGATGATAACATTTATAGTATGGTAGCATAGCTTTCTCTTTAAAAGTGTTTGCTTTCTGTTGATGCTCACAGTAGTGGCCAAAAGTAGTGGTAATGGCATAGGAATACATTGCTGGCTTTTGTTCTAACAACGCTTTTGATCTCTCTCCTGTCATTTTCTGCTACAGTGTAGATTAAGGCAATGCATGAGTGATGGCATAGGAAGCCTTTTTCATCAGGGTGGTATCTGTGGGGGAAAGGATACTCTGCCAAGTCATGAAACTTCTTTACATGCAGTAAAAACACAAGAATTATCTTCCTGCTGGGCCAGGCCTGCAGTAGCAACTATATCTGAAGGTTACAAGATGTATCTGGCCTCAAAGGCACACTTGGATTAAGGCTTCCTGTGCTACTGAGGTGGAAATTCAACACCTTCTTTTGATTAGATATGCAGCTACCTTAGCTGGCTGAAAGAAATATATCTGTGTATCAAAACATTTTTTTTCCAATTATGACCTCCTGTCTCATGGTACTAGATGGAAACTGTCTAGTTCAGGAAGCATTTTATTTACTTCTATGTGGGTTATGCAAAGATTGCTGTTTCTTTTAGGTCCTGAGAGGGAGAGATATTTACTTCTTCTTGGACTCTTCTTTCAGTATGTCTGGTTTTGCTTTGGTTTGTTTTTTTCTTCTTTTGAAATATGGACACTTACTTGTGTGTCTTACTTGTGATTATGTTTACTTGGTCTTTCCCAGCCTTCACCTGTTTAATTTTAAATCAATTTTTACATACAGAAAACAAACATATACCTGTAGCCAGGATGATTTTTCTCTAACATAACGAGAAGGAAGAATGAGAATTTTCATAAAAAAATAGTCAGTGTATCTGCTAACCTCTTCAGAACTGAACAAAATTGAATTTTTTGTCTCCTTTTACCAAAATGCTTGACAAGTTTTCAAATGCATGATAGCAGCTTAGTAAATAATCAGCATATTGTAAATGTATCTTTTAAAGGCCAAGGAATAGCATAAATACTCTTTCAACTTGTGGACGATATAAAACATTTCCAGTTGGATCATGTATAGAGTAATTACTTTTGACAAGTTAATTTTGCAAGTGTCCAATTAAGCTATTCATTCATAGCTTATCTCTTCACAGTGTGGCTGTATTCACTTAGCTGTTCTGGCTTGAATTTCTATTGTGCCTTTAAATATGGATCCAAATTCATGGGATGTGAATTCATTTAAAGGGCAGTTCTTAGTGTTGAGAGTTTGAACTCCCTCAAATCACATCACAAGACTGACTTTAAATCAGGAGGGATGTAAGGCTATGTTTTTTCTTTTTCTTTTCTTTTTGAAGTAGTAGTAAATGTTTGTTAATTACTTGGCTTCTATTTTTCTTAAACTGTTAAGATTTATAGTCTCAGTTTTTCTTTAAACTC